GAATGTATACTGCCCTGGTTGCACGCAATCGATATTTCGTGGTCCATAATTGAATCGCATGTCGCATGTATATAGAAGTTTAGGTTTAAGTATATTTTAATGTGAATAGTGAATATCAAGTTCATATCAATACGTTTAACCTATCGAAAGCTTTTAGTTAATTTTATGATTTTCATTTCGAGTAGAAGCAATGCATTCATTCTATTTGTATTTCTTTAGATATATAAAAATGAACAGTAGTTGTAAATAAAGATAAGAAACTGCCTTCCTTTATCAAATGTAAACATTTCATGAATGTCCAACGTGATAAAATTGAATGAAGCTGCAAGGATGCAGACGTAAATTTGTCCTTGTGAATGGCAATGAAGCCGAGGCAGACGCGCCTTCTTTAGTTGAAGAAGAGACCCTGCAATTGCGACGCCGCGGGACTTGATCGAGATTAAGGACTGGTTAGGAGTGTGGTCTGGACGCTCCTGTGGTCTGGATACTACGATATTCCATTTAAAAATGAATAAAAAAAATTCCTTGCTTGATTTTATCAAGCAAGGAGACCATACCCATATGATAGATACTGAAACATTTCGTTGATCAAGATTAAGGACTGGTTAGAGGAGTGTGGTCTGGATACTCCGATATTCCCTGTTAAAATGACTTGCTGAAACAAATTGGCTGATTTTATCAAGCAAGGATACCATACCCATACGATAGATACTGAAACATTTAGTTGATCAAGATTAAGGACTGGTTAGGAGCGTAGTCTGGATCCTCCGATATTCCATGTAAAAATGACTTGCCGAAACAAATTGGCTGATTTTATCAAGCAAGGATACTATACCCATTTGATACATACTGAAACATTTCGGAACTGGAAGTTGATATAGCCCCTCGATCAGAGACCAATTTTCTTACGAGTACAAAACTGAAACATTGCTGAAATTTATGCACAGGAAAAACTTGACAGACGACATATTTTGTCCACCTGGTCATAATACAGCCAGAAATTCAAGGCGATATATTTGTCCAATGAGACAAAGGAGCTTCATACACAAACAAAAAAAACTACCTATATTTTGAAAGACAATAAACATGTACATCTGGACGCTAACCAAAGGGATTATATCGCTGCAATATTGACTCAGTTTATTGAGTTAGAATATTGAGATCTGAGTAAATAATAATTATAATAATAATATTAATAATAATAATAATGTTAATATTATTATTATCAACTCAGATTGTCAATTTAGGAGGCAAATTTTTGTATTCGTGTCACGGAAGCAAGCCTCGGGCTAAGCTATCAACATGCAGTGAGCGTCACATCTTCAAAAATGACCAAAAACTTAAATAAAGCTCGAGTAAAATGATGCAAAGTTGCTTAATAAAGTACGGCCAGTTGGCCACATCAGGCACTCAGATACCCGGATCTTCATCAGCAGCCGGCGCAGTCAAACATACGAGATTTTTTTTACCATTAAAGATCGCATCATCGATAAAGATCAGCAGATATCCACTAAAAAATCCGCTATAATGATTAAAAATATTTATTTATGCTCATTTGTTGAAAATTCTTTGAATACAATTTGAATTTTTACTCAAATATTGGCAGCAGGTAAGAAATTTTTGTCCATCACAACAAAATCCTGGAAATGAAACTATAAATGGATATGTGAACTTGAGAGCTTTCAATTTTTACCCCCAGTACAGTTCCTAACGTTATAAAACTCCCATATACGACATTCCGAAACTAAACATCAATATATGCAATACATACTCTAAATAAATTCAAACTCTATACGCGCGTTATACATTATTTCCAGGACCAATTTCACTGTCAGGTGCTACCAGAAAAATCCCCATAAATCATTATTATTATTATGTATCTGAAGGCTGAAATTTTGAGATGGCAGTCCTTGAGCTTCGCGCCGCCACTGCCAAGGTTAGAGCTGCTGCAAAAAGCGGCGAGGCTACAGAGCGCATGCCACGAAAACCAGCGTCTTATTGCGTTCTATGCAAATTCTTCCTCGTGTATATATTAAATGAGTATAGTGAGCATATTTTATATGTAACTTACATTTGTATGTTGCTAATAGTCTATAAGCAAATTTTATATTAATTAAACACATAAGTTTTATGTTATTAATATACGTTCTACGTATTTGAACTGTGTTCTTCACACTTACATGATATGTCATGTACGTATGATTTTTGTTAAGTGGATGAAATTTTAGGTTCTCTTGAGTAAAGTATATAATTTAAATAACTAATTGAATGTTTTATTTTTTTCAAATTAGGCATTACAAATGTAACAATGCAAACGTAATGAAACTTTACAATTAAGAGGCATGATTGATTTCATAATCTGCTCATGCACTCAGTCGTCCAATAAATCCATCCAAACTTGATTGAAAGTTCGCAGTAATTAGAATGCAGCAAATAACATATTATTAAAATCGATATGACATTATAGAATGAAAGCACACTAAGAAATATCGATAAATTAATTTTTAAACAATTTTAAGTAAATCGAGTCACATCTTACGTATTTACCCCAAAAGCCAAAAGCCAATCCGTCCGAAATCTTAACAAGTTTGCTTGTAGACTCTATATTTCAAAAATCCTATTGTATTGTTTTGCTCAAATTCCCACTAAACATCCAAAGAGAAAACGACAAGCGCTGCTCACAACTGTCCGCATTAATGTAAGACGCCGACGAATCTCCCAACAAACCTAGCGTGAAATGTGAACAAAAGGCCCGCTACATCAATAAACGCTGCTTCGAAAATGCGATCGAGGTCAGACAGTCACGGATGCGATGAATTCTCATCTCGTGCGATCAAAAGATATTGAGTAGACAAAGATGGTTGCGCGTACGTATACAAAAAAAAGGGAGGGCCCGTTACATCTGCTATGTTCCTACTAGATGTTGCTGTCAGTATCTGAGGTACAGTTACGTTTGTGTTTACTAACCGTCAATCACTGGAACGCAAACATACACGGTCTGATCATTGAGAGCGTGAACCTTCCTGGGCCGCATGTTCGGAAAACATTCATGATCTCATATTCCTTTGTCTTGACTGGTGTAGGTGAAAATATTTACAAACTGGTAAGTGGTATAAACAAACCACTTATTTTAGGCAAGTTCATCTTGGATGAGGCTGATGGAACGCTTTTACTATAATTCATATTTTGTCAGACAGGAATCCCAAAATTACTATTAAATTTACCATCAATTTGCGGGGTAATTTGCCTGTGCAACAGAAGTATCTGGCTGATAAATCTACATATAATAAATTAGGACGAGCAATTTTTATAATTATTTTCTCTGATACCATGCATCATTTAACCACAGAAGCACTCTTTTTTTCTGTAATTATATATAAGTAATTAGAACGATTGAAATGTCTTAAAATTTATTATAGTCAGTGCAAAAATTGGGAACCGTGAAACGGCCGACCTCGTCCCACAGCGCGAGCGGCGATCGATAACTGGATAAAACCAAGTTCTGCGCATATATAGGTATTTGTTTCAAAAACCCCAGTATATATTAATCAATACTGGAGCTTCTGAATTTCAGCATTTCTGCTCTTGTAAATTTAGTCACTATTTATTTTGTACTGATCTGGACAAAATACAAAGCCCAGTTTGAATTTAACGTTCCCTAAAAATTTTCAGACTTATCCACCCTTGCAGGGTCATACTTTAACATTTCATATTGAAAACATTCTATCCGGCTATTGATCCAGCAAAAAACAAACAAAAACCTGAACACGAGTATTGGTATTTATTTCTTCAACGAAGTTGTTCCCAGAGGATATAAGAAACTAGTTCTCACAGTACCGCGTCCATTACCGCCCTCTTATTTCTTATCCTCAAGCCTTCCGAGTCATCGATGCCCCGTGGGCTTCTTGGCAGCAAAAACTTCGTTATGGACCGCCGAGGATGAGACGTTTTTCCATGACTTATGACTCGGGAGTCATGTAAGGCAGCAGGGCTATGCTATGGGAAACTAAACTCCTGGTTCTATAAGAGGAATTTTATTGGTGGTGTCGTTGATCAAAAACGCATTTAACTGTAACTTTGGTTTTATTTATGAGTCACTGGTAACACCGGAATTTCTAAATAAAGTTTCCGTGTAGTTTGAATTTTCCCAGCGACGCAGTTCAGGCCATGCGATGGCGCAGTGGACGTGGTCTGTTGGTAGGAACTGGGACCATGGGAAGCTCTGCACCGGATGCGCAACCATTGAGTTGGTTACTCTATTATAGGAGCGCCAGGGCTCGATTGTGAAGCGAGCATGACCATCAAGTCGCCGCGGGCGGAGTCTTGTAATTAAAGGTACTGGAAAAGCTCGCTGAGATTCACCAACACTTCACCATTTGTCGTGAAAGCTTGGCTCAGGAGCCAGAGAGTTTGAAATACAAATTAAACCCGCCCAATCATTTGTCGAGCTGTTTACTGTCTTCCATTGGCTAATCGTGATATACAATATATTTTTTAGTCGTAAAAAGGTTCACAGTCCCTTGGTAAACATTAAATCAAAAACATCTGTGAGAAGCTAGCAGCAACTTTTTAGACTTGCATTTTTATCATTTATACATTAAACGCGATCAAAATTAGCATATTCTCAGACATTAGCTTCCTTCACATTCATTTCTTAAACCTTTTTTGTCTTCTGTTTGTAACTATAATTACAGTGCATTTGTATATAATTAGTAAATAATACGATTAGTATATTGTATAAGATAACGGTCAATACATCAAAATAGAAATGGTTTAATTTGCAAAATATAAGCAAAAATCAAGCTGAAAGTGTATTAATTACGTCTGAATTTAAACAATAGTTAGATCGAAAATTTTATGAGTTTGAAAAAAATTTGCATTGTTTATTCCATGAAATTAAATCTCAATTCTTGCTTTTCCTTTTACAAATTGTCCGGGCAAACTTTTGAACTTTTCGCATTATAATTAGGGATTCCGTCTAAAAACAACTATGTACTCACGAGTCGGATCGCTGACGCCTGACAGTGACGATCCGTCCGAGCTTTCTGCGTCATCTTGTGTTCCTGTCCACCTCGGACTCAGGATGGACGATTCGAAGAGAGCCTTCCGTCCCTCCTGCATGACCACCCAGTCCTGCACCTGCCTCGGTGACGCCTCTTCATTCGTCTCGACTATGTCGTCTTTAGTCGCCGGGACTGTAACTGCCGCAACACTATCATCAGGCACCGGGTCCACCGAGCTCTCTGGTAAGCTGTCGAAGATTTCCTCTGGGATATCCCTATAAGATTTTAATGCTGCTGCTACTATTCGGGGCTGAGTGGGAACCTTGATGGAATTTTCAGATTCTGGTATAAGATCCGAGTTCGCTAGCAACTCCATATCTTGGTTATCAGTTCCATGCCCGCGTATATAATCGTGGGGTGCACAACTGTCAACAGATCCGACCATTGTTACATTAGCATTTCTCACGAAATTTTTCGAGTTGAAATCATTTTTAGTATCAATTACTGTGCAGGTGCTAGCATCACTTGCTTCTTGATCATCGTCGGAAAACGTACTAGAATGCTCGTCCGAGTCTTCGCGTCGCAGCTGAGTCACAACACAACCACTCCTTACCAACTCCGATTTAACACTGAACACATGCGTCGTTTCAGGTGCGGGTTGACCACCCGCAAGATCCAATTCAACTTCACCTGCCGATTCTCTCCTCTTGAGCTGTGATCTTTCTACTGCGTCGTACTTTTCTCCGCCATTCGTAGCAGGATGAACAACTGGCGGTCGCACTTCATTGAAAATTGTTCTTCGACTCACTGGTGGTTTGATTGATGAATGAGAGCGTTCGACTAACTCGGGGACCTCGAAATTTTCTTTTCCATTTTCCTCATTAAATGCACTAGACGAATGTACTGGTGATGTGTTGGTTTTATGCAACTCTTGGAGTCTTCTTTTTATAAAATCTACTCGGCCAACTTTAGCTCGAATTTCGTCGGAAAAAGATGAATTTTTCGGGTCAAGTAGATTTGGGTTTAAGCCTTCTTGAGAGATAGCATCCCACTTGGGAAAATTACTGACTGTGTGTCGATGAGATTTCACCCTACTTCCTTGCCAGTACGGATACTTCACTTTATACTTTATGATCTCCATATCATCAGAAGTCTTCAAATTGGACTCCCTGGCCGTAAAATTCACTTCAGAACATGAATTTCTCTCAAAAATTCTAGCTACTTTTCGTACCTGGCCAGTTTCCCTTCTAGCCTTCATGGCCTCTTCTTCTCTTTTGTCACTAATAGACTGGAAGAAAGCACTTTTTCGCTTTACTGCGTCCTTCTCAATGTTCTGACAATCCTCGTCTATGAAGTGCGAGCTGATTTCGCTCGCTGATGTTGGTTGCTTCTCACACCACGAGTCTCGGAAGTTTGGGCGTCGGGGGATAGTCGACGCGATCGCTCTGGGTAAAGACTTGTACGCGTCAGACATCGCTGGGCCCTGGAGAAATAATCAATATGAATAACACTTTGTAAATATTAAACAACAGCAGTAAAACATTCCCTTCGTTTAATGTAGCAAACACGATACACGATTTCGATATTCGAGTTCGATACTCGACGTTCATATCGAGGGTCGTTTTAGCTCTCCGGGTAAACGTTCAAATTAAACAGTAAATTTTTCCCATATAGCAGAAAACATCCAAATTAAAATTACAATCCAACTCCAACTTTGTTAATTATTCCCATTGGTAAAGTTGTATACCTTGAAAAATTGCGAAGGGTAATTCGAGCTCGCCGAATGCAATAAATGTTAAAAATATCTGCAAAGGTGCAATCAGCCCGCTGAACGTGCAATCTTCGAAATGCTATTTTATCGCAGACTCTTCGTACCATGATGGAAAAAAAATATTGGTTGTCTTCAAAAGGAAAGTGGTCAATTTTTTAGGACTATGTCTCTGTTGAACTTATCATCACCATAATTTTATCATTCCTGTCGCCCATCATTGTCAGAAATAGAACATAAAACTCCATTTTTTGTTTAATAAGTGGAAAAAAGTGGACTCGCTAGCAATAACTCAGTATTGCTAGCGAGTCCTGCTCCGTAACCTTAAACCTCAGCTAAAACAAGACAATCCGTGGAAACCCTGAGCTCAACATATGAAATAAGCTCAATATTTTCCTTTTGGACGCTCTGAGATCCTCAAAGTGGACTTTTAAATTTCGGTAAGAAATAATTTATTTTAGTCTGGCCACTTATTTCTCGCCTATCGAAAAGATCTATTCGGTCTTACCCGTCAATTGATCAGAGATCTGTCAGACATCCTCACACCCATGGTTGAATTAATACAGTATTAATTCAACCATGCTCACACCGACCAAGGAGATTTACTAAAAGTAGAATTCAAATGCCCGTAGACTTAAACAGGTGAATTTCGTTCTTAGAAAACGGTCATTTTGAGCATAGTTTGCATCAAATTCTACATTGGCAACTCGCCGTGGACTCGTAAATTCGGTTAGAGAATTCGATGAAGCGATTTTTATTCTTAAAAAACTGTTCTTATTAGTGTTACTCGCATCAAATTTCACATCCTGAACTCTGGACAATATCACCTACAACCAATTATCAGAATAAGTTGATAATTCAGATATGAATCATCAGCCATTCGATTTTAATATCGCGCGAGAATACCTTTGGCCTTCATTTAAAACTTTTTTATTTTGTACACTTAAAATGAACTCGAAGCCTAAGACCAGACATACGTTTTGGCAGCTTGCACTTTTTGAGGTACACGCTTGAGTAACGAGTTTACAATTGCATTTTTTTTCTTTCATGGTCACGAATTCTATACGACTTTCGATGTCTTCTTGATTTTACCAGTAAGTGGTAGGCTGGAATTCATCAAACCTCGGTCAAATGTAACTTTTACGGATTTCCCGTGCATTTGTTTCATAGGCGAAAGCAACTAAGAATTTCAAATTTGTATGGGATTTATATATCGCTGATAATTATTACAGATTGGTTTTAAATACCGGCAAAAATCTGAACAATACAAATTATTTAATGAAAAAGGATTGCATGAAATTTGGCGTTTTCATCGAAATTTATTATCGAAAGTATTATTAGTGAATCTGAAGCTTGCCTAAAACCCATGACCGTCATGCAACCGATTCAAACTTCACCATCTCATATTTCTTAGCTTTGCTTAACAAAAAGGTGTAATTAATGTCTATGCCGCTTTATAGCATAGCAGGTTAACATTTATAATACTGCATAATAAATCAAAGGCAATTATAAATATGTTCCCTCACCTTATTCAAAATACATGTCCCTCAACTGCATATGTCAAATTATATGTCCCTCACCTTATTCAAAATTTATGTCCCTCACCTATATACATATGTCAAATAACATGTTCCTCACCTTATTAATGGATATAAAACGCCTTATTAATGGATATAAAAGGCTTCAGCTGCTCTCAGTTAGGCTCGCTGGCCACGAATGAGGCAGCCAGAGCTGGCGTCGCGTCGTACGTGTAGCGTTACAGGAGCCGTAACCGATCCCGCACCTTCTGTTTCAGGTTCTCGCGCCCGGCTGGTTACTCATTGCAGGTCCTCATCGTGTTTACTTGTTTATGCTATACCCTTCCTTGCATGAGTAATGCTTGTAATAAATGAATATTTATATGTGTGCAAAACTTTGTTGTTTATGCTAATAACAGGTCCTCATCGTGTTTACTTGTTTATGCTATACCCTTTCTTGCATGAGTAATGCTTGTACTGAATGAATATTTAAATGTATGCAACTCTTTGTTGTTTACGCTAATAACAGGTCCTCATCGTGTTTACTTGTTTATGCTACCCTTCCTTGCATGTGTAATGTTTGTACTAGATGAATATTTAAATGTATACACGTCTTTGTTGTTTACGCTAATAACAGGTCCTCGTCGTGTTTACTTGTTTATGCTACCCTTCCTTGCATGAGTAATGCTTGTAGTAAATGAATATTTAAATGTATGAAACTCTTTGTTGTTTACGCAAATAATTAGCATATATGCGAATGACTAATGATGTTCATACTGTGTGAATAGTTAAATTTCTGCTACCTTTCCTTGCGTAACAAATTTGCTCATACTGCCTGAATATTCAGATTTGTACTGTTTCCACTTGAATCAAAATTAAACTATAAGAGATAAAAACAACCCCATTCATGTTTCCTGTGGATTCTTAGAACATTTTGGTATGAAATAACGCTTTTGTGTGGTTGTCAAAATAGATAATAAGGCCGAAAAAGTAAGCTCACTAAAGCTGAAACAATTTCTTTTCATGAATAACGGAGTTGGTTTAATTTCTTGAGGTCAGTTTGCTGATTTCTCTTTTACTGAAAATATATACTATCGATAACCAAAAACATTATAACCTGATTATAATCTTATAACAGTTTACCCTGTTAAAAACAGTTTGTACTGTTTTTGAGCTTCTTGCAGCTTTCTTGGACGATGTGGAATTATTTTTATTTCTTCTAGCAGCAAAATCCTAAACACCCTATCGACAATTTGCTCATGGCGAACACTTTCAATGCATAAGCGTCTCTCCCAACTACACATATGATTAATAAGCTGGAAACATTGTAAAATAACTTCAAGATTATGTTATTCAAACTTGAGTTCAAGTTTGGAAAGTAAATCAGATAAAATCCCAAAAGTTCTTGCCGAAAAATCGATTCACTTCATGCTAGGACCTCATGTGAACTTGAGGCTATAGGATCTCCTTTGCCTCAAATATCTTCGTTGTATGAATTGAGTTCGCGACTCAAATTTTAGAGTACATACTTAAGCTTCATTACGCAAAGGAAGCATATCATTTAAACTGCCCGTCTGACATCAAATTATTATTGGATCTACCGAGACCTGCCAGCGCGTGACCCACAAGTCTAATTCAATATAATATTTGTAAGTAGGAGGAACTCTGACACATCGTATTATCAATGATCATGGTGCGTGATTTTTGTCAGAGACGAAGGTCAGAGAGATGCGTCAAATTAGTGTCGCAGGAAACTAAATTCCAGAATTAGATCTTGTTCGTAGACTACAGATTGAAATATAATTACATTTTTATAGCTCAATGACTTCAAGTATCTGCATAAGGAGACTTTATGCAGCAATTCATGTCGCTAGAGGGATATAATATCAAACCATTTTATATTTTGCCTACTATATAACAAAGTATATATGCAAGAAAGAAGAGGAAAGAAAGTATCTATAAGAAATAAGAGGGTATTATTTATACCTTGATATCATTGGAATAAAATCATTAGTTTTTGCTTGGTTTCACAGTAATTTTCTATTAACGACTCTAACCTTAACTATCTGAACCTAATCTTGAAACGTTAAGAGTTTCGAAATGACGTAAAAATATGTGTTAATTCCCCTCATTGCATTCCTAATATATGTAAACAATCTGAATTTCGCAAAGATCTGGTCATAATTGAAGAATTTTTGGTTGGTAAGTTGCTCCGAAGTTGCGTTTTTCCTTTTTAATTAAAAGCAAAATGACGTAAACCCCTTTAACAATTCCTCCCACGATGCATTGCTTATAAATAGCTATGATCTGAATTTGAAGCAGATGCGTTCAAAATTGAAGAAGCAATGCTGGAAAGTTGAACATAAGCTGCGTTTAGCATCAGAGTTCGTTAGCCAGTTCGCGGGTAAATTCGAAGAAGTGTCGTTTGGGTTATAATCAACATGTTAGTTCCTTCGTTCATCGATCATTATTATGCTCGAGTTCTCATCATCATGTTGGCAACTTTCCATTCAGAATTTGAATCCCGAGTCGAGTAATGTTCAGTTGTAAAATGCCCAGCAACTTACGGACCAGCAATAAGTCCAGAAGCTATCTCAATCAATCGTCAGTTATGGAAAGATTGGGTTCCAAAGGCCGGATCCCTTCTGAATCAAGTCACGAAAAGTACAAGAATCGGCAACAGGCCATGGCCTATTTCTTCAGTGCCAACACTTTAATTTTATTCTATTCTAATGACAGACCATCGATAATTTGTTCGTTGAATGCATCTACGAAAGTTTAAAGGGATTAGGAGTTTGTGAGCATTTAGTCACCAGTATCGAACGATACAACAGGAGTAAGTCGTTTCAGAATCAAGGTTCTGCAAATAATATGAAAAAGTGGAGGAAATCAATCCCCAATCTACTTACAATATGAATCACTGGAGCAGGGAAATGCCGATGATCTAAATAACTGCATTTTTATTTGTATGCTGCATTCAAATACGCTGTTGTTCCTATTTGTAACACTCATGACATTACTGGATATAGACATTGGTAAAAGTCTCGAAAGAAGATTACAAAATTTGGTTACATAAGCGATTGCAGAAATGTAATCCTTTTTGTATGATGTGACCGCTTGTGAAGGCAAAGACATGCGCAATCGAGTATAGGGAACACGCAGGCGTGAACCGTGTTGCAATACTGTATGGTCCACGCTCGTTATTTCTTTCTGACCGCGAGTGTGTACGCAAAACTGCAACTCTTGGATGGCCAAATACAACTAAAGCTTCGTCTAGGTATGTGCTATATTGAAATTATACCTTAGTTTAGTATTAAAACGGACTGGACTTATTCCTACGGTTAGTTAAGTCGTTGGAGACTTGGAGCCGCGTTGGTCGAACTCTAAAGCCCGGTCCACACGCTCAGTTTTACACAACGATTTGTCTGCGCAGTTCTAATCGTTGCAGATAAAACGTTGCGTGTGGACGGGAAAACTGCGCAGTTTTGGAGCCGGCGGGAAAACTGCGCAGTTCCATCGAAATCTGAGCCACCGAGCATAGATTTCGATGAACTGCGCAGACAAGTCGGAACGTGTGAACGGTAGCACAGTTTTCCGATTCGATTTGTGCTCAGTTTCAATGATTCTGGCGACCATGGCGGACCTTCGGTAATGTTCTCGGGAATTTATTGCTTTTCTATACGAAAGTTTTTCTTGCATTTGGCAAGTAAAATTCAAGGACTATAGTAACAGGGACAAAAAAGGTGGAGACATACGAGGGCTTAGTAGAAAAATTCAAAGAAATCGATGAAAGCGCAAACATAGAAACAGCTGTAAAATAAGTTGAGCATTTACCGTAAATAATTGGGAATGAATGAAAAAATCGATTCCATCTGGACCTGGAAAAGAAGACATCTACAAGCCATCTCTCTTGTATTTTGATTCCTCGCAATCCCTAAATAATTCAATCTCTTTTTTGACAAGGCACAATGCCAAAATTTATGAAAATACTGCCTTCTCCATGGCACGTTTTGGATAAATTTACGGCCGGTCTCCCCAAATTCGATGGGCATGGAATATCTCCAAAAGTAATGAACGTAGCTCGATAAAACTTGGTACACGTATTCATTAGGACTTAACGGTAATGTTTAGCATGCGACATTTTTTTTCGATTCTGCCTTCTTTTGCGAGTTATACGGCTTTATCAAATCTTAAAAATTTTCACGAGCTAAACATCGCCGTTGGGAGGTTAGGTTTCTATATTCCACGTTTCGTTCAAATCTGTACAGTAGTTAAGAAGAAATGTCATGCTCACTGCAAATTTCAGCACGTATTGTCATATAACTCAGGAATGAAGGTGAAATTCCAAAAATGTTCACGAGCTAAACATCACCGTTAAGTCCTAATGAATACGTGTATCAAGTTTTATTGAGCTACGTTCATTACTTCGGGAGATATTCCATGCTCGCCGAATTTGGGGAGACCGGCCGTAAAATTTGTCCGAGACGTCTCCATGGCGAGATCGCGCAAAACTGAGCAAACTACTCAGATAAGTCGGTACCGTGTGGACGCTCTAAAAATTGCAACGATTTCAATCCGACTTAAAACTGCGCAGACAAATCGTTGTGAAAACTGAGCGTGTGGACCGGGCTTAACAAAGCTTTGTTCAAGTTCTACGTTGTATTAGCAACATCTGCGATCGAACCAGATGCATTAATGAATAGGTCCAATGTAAGGCAATGGCCAATGAAAATTCAAAAAAATTATGCCGTATTTTAATCTTTGCTAAGCAGCTAAAGACAGACTGTTGAGGCTGCATGAGGCAGTCAGCCAGAGCCAGTCACAAAGGAAATAGCCTACCTAGTAATTGTAAAGCCTCGCACTCGTAGTAGACTAGTAGCTACCTTACCTACCTAGCAGTGCGGCGGGCTAGCACTAGTAGCTACCTTACCTACCTAATGGACCATGGTAGTTATGCCGTTATGGTAGGTACAACTATCATGAACTATGTGATAATGTCACCTGAGGCTAGCAGTTTTCCTAGCTAGTAAAGGGGACTAGGGAGTTTGTCTCAAATCTCAATCACTTTTCATCATGAATCACAATCACTAGTAATTACTGCCAGCATCACACTGTTCAGTCCAGGCTGGAATTCTAAGAATG